AATGATTCTTTTTATATATTCAAATATAAAAAAAAAAAAAAAAAAAAAATTATTTTTCTTACATATTCAAATATTAAAAAATAATTTTCCCTATTCTAATATAAAATAAAAAAAACAAAAATTATTTTGTTATTCATATAAAAATATATGATAAAGAAAAAATCAATTTTCTTTAATACATATGAATATTTATGTTGATAAAATACTAATTCAGTAAATATTTAGTTTAAGTTTGAATACAAATATTCAAACATATATTGAGGATATAAAAAAGGTATTTTTAACATTTTTATTAGAACAACTTTACAACAAAAAAAAATAATAAAATAAAATAAAGAGAAAAAAAAAAAAAAAAAAAAAAAAAAAAAAAAAAAAAAAAATTAAAAAAAAATTTAAAAAGAATTAATAAAAACTATAATTATTAAAAAATATATTTTATTAAAAATTTAAAAAAAAAAAAAAATATATATATATATATATATATATATTCGTATGAAAAAATGAAAATTTTAATTTTCTTAACCAAATATGAAAAAAATAATTTTTGTTATTTATATTAATTAAAACATTAAGGAAAAAAATAAAAAAAAAATTAAAAGAAATTATTAGAAAAAAAAAAAAAAAAAATATTATGTATCAAAATATATACTTTTCGCTCAGGTATGCACATAAATTTGTTTTTTAATTACCTCTGTATTTTTATTATATTTTTCATTAAGTTTTGAAGATTACAATAAAAAAAAAGAATAAAAATGATAATCAAAAAGATAATTAAGAAAAAAATAAAAAGAAAATAAATGGAAAAGAGTTCACCTTAACTTTTTTAAAATTTATTCAGATCAATATTTTTTTTCATTTTTCATTTTTTTTTTTTTTTTTTTTTTTCTTAATATATAAAATTTATATTTTAAATTTATATTAGTAAATTAAAATGTCACATAATTTAATTAAAAATATGGAAATTAATAAAAAAGACAACAAAGTAATTATAAAAAAAATATATTTTTTAAAACAAAATGTATTTATATATATAATGCAATGTATCTCTTTTATATTATTTCTTTTTCTATTAAAAATAGTTCCCATATTGTGTTGTGTTTGCATATCTCCCATGTGTATCTACTTTTATTCCAATAGTTGGCCACGTTGGTAAATTATATTAATACTAAAATCTTCTATTTATTTTTAATGATAAGAATACATAACATTCAAAATATTCTTTCTTCTTCATTTATAGGAATATGCACTTCATCAGGATTAGTTCATGACTTTTCAGGGTCATATAGTATCTCTGTTGGTAATAGTATATATATATATAATAAAAATTCAATATACTTTTGTGATTAAATTTTTTTAAAATTTTTTTAAATATAGATAATATGGAATTCAGCGATCCTATGAAATACTGGAAACTTGATAAAAATAAATTGCCATTGGCAATTACTGACAAAGTATTAGAAAAGAAAACTTTTATTTTGAAATATATTTTTATGAAGTAATTTAATCATTTTATTTTTTTATAAATTAGCTATATGATGACGCTATTTATAAAGCAGATGAAGTTTTCTCCAAGAGGAAGGTAGCTAAAATCCATTCATTTATTTAATTGTACTAGTATTCTAAAATATATGCATTTTAACTAAATTTTTTAAAAAAAAATTCCTTTTTATCTTTTTTTTTACATTAATATTTACATTTTTTTTTTTTTTTTTTTTTTTAAAATAACTAGCATAACTTATTCCTGTAAGCAAAATGGATCACTAATATAACCAAGTAAAAAAATTACAAAATATATAAAATAAATTTTTTTTTTTTAGAAATAATTGCCATCATCATGTAGCAATGGTTTTAAATAATATAAAATACAAAGGAAGATCTGATTGGTAAATATAAATGATTTAATATGTATAATAGTTTTGTTTTATTTATATTTACTCTCAAAATTTGATAATATAATTTTTTTTTTAATAAAATGAATTGCTTTTATAAAATATTCGCCATATGTATATATTGTAGTTTATCTCATTATCAATCTTTCATTTTTTGTTTTTATATTAATTACTTATAAATATTTTGCTTTTTTCTTATATAGGACACCATTTAAAATATTCTTAAATTTAATATTTCATGGCCGTTTTGTTTCGTAAGATTTATAGACATATTAAAAGATATATTTTATTTTAAATTATTCAAATTATATTTTGAACAGTACTTTTTATTATTTTATTTTTTATTTATATCTTATTTTTTAATTTTTTATATATTTAGATGGAAGTATCTTTTTGTGTTGTATGGACCCTTTTCATTCATAGTTCTATTACTTATATTTATTGCTACAACGCTTTAATATTTTCTTTAAATATATAAAAAAAAAATATATGAAATTCCTAATGATTACAATGAATAAATATTTTTAGAAAAGTTTAAACTAATGTTAATATTTTGTGTTTATGTATTCAATAATTAAAGAAATTTTTTTTTTAAAAATATTTACAATTTAATTATATGTTTATTTAATTTTTTTTTTTTTTTTTCAACTTAAAATATTTTCACCTTTTTTTGTTATTAATGACTTTATTTTTATTCTTATTTTATTTTTATTTATATCTTATTAATATTTATACATATTTCTTTTATTATATATATATATATATATATTCAAAGTATTTTTAAACAATTCATGTAGAAATGTATCCAAAGAGAATTTCATGAATGAATTTTTTTTTTTCATTATTTATAAATTTTTTTTTCTTTTAAATAATAAATGAATTTCTGTTTTTCATAAAAAATTAAAAAAAAAAAAAAAAAAAAAAAAAAAAAAGTTTACATCCATCTAGCTCTACACAAAACTACCATTTTTCTAACTTTTTTATGAGGATCAACTGAGGCTATAGATAAATACCATTTTATCTGTATAAAGAGAAAAAAAAAAAAAAAAAAATTTTTAAACATAACAAAAAATGTAAAGAAAATGAATATATAAAAACAAAAATCGTAATCATTATTTTCGTAACATAAAAAATAAAATAATTAATACATTTTATTGTTCTTTTCAGTGATATATTTAAAAAATATATGGTGTATAAATATATTTTTCTAAATTTCTTGAACAACTTACATCTTGAATAATAGAATAAGATAAAAATGACTCATAATTAAAAAAGGAAATGATATAAATAATATAAACGCATAAATATCTAATTAATGCTAACGGAACTGAAATTAATATTTTCATAATACTTTTGATAATTATATTTTTGTAGGATAATAAAAAATCTAAATTTTCCTTTAAGTAATTTTTATTACCCGTATTTCCATTGTGTACATTAATTTTACTTTTAAACTTTAAGTAGTAATTTAATAAGTTAATTATTAAATAAAGCAAGCGTAAACATAATACTATATTTAATGATATAATTTGTCTTAATAATATTTTTCTGTATTTATTTTCTTCTTTATTCTTTTCATTTAACTGGTTTCTGCAATCAGAATTAAATATATTCTGAATTATGTTAATATTCTTTCTTAAAATTTCATTTATATACTTTTTGTTGTTATAAAGATAACTATTTTTGTTTATAAAAAAATTGGATATTTTATTAATTCCTTTTAGTATACATATTTCTAAAATTTTAAAGTAACTATCTATTACTTCTTCAAAAGGTATATTTAATAATAAAATAGTCATTACATGAATTATACTAAGATACTTACAATTATATTTATTTATTTTTTTTTTTTTTCTTTTCTTTAAATTTTCCTTAAAAATTTTATTCTTATTTTCATAATCAGTATTATTAGAATCGTTAGAAATATTTTGGTTTATTTTTTTACTTTCACAAATATTTTCATCTGTCAAATCTTTTTTTACAATATAATCTTCATTTACATTGTCACCTCTAATTAATGGTAAATCGATTCTTTTATGTTGTTCTATTTCTTTTGTATCAGTATGAAAAGAAGTTTGAATTTCCTTATTTGAATCATCTTCATCAGATTTTATATTATGGTTTAAAATAAAATTTTCAATAAATTTCACAGTTTTTTCATTTTTTTGAATCAAATCATATGGTAAAGAATGTCTAAAAAACACATTTTCCTTTTTTATGATAAATATATATTCCGTTATAGAAATATATTTATTTATTATATCAATAAAAAAAAGATAATTATAAATATTATAAAAAAAATTAATTATAATGCTTTTATACGAATTAATAAAATTATTGTTTTGAGTGAAGCATATATTATTAAAATTCTCTTTGTGAAATAATGAATAAGTATCTATATTATGTACGTATGAAAATATTTTGTTATATATATTGGAGATATAATTATAATAAAAAAGTATTAACATATGATTATCCAAGTTATTATTTAAATCATTGTATAGGTTTTCAATATTTTCTTCTTTATAATTGACATCATTTTCATTTATATAAAAACATAAATCATAAAAAATCGAAAAATTCTGAAAAAGAGAAAAAAGGAAATGACAAAAGAAATAAAAATTGTCATTATCATTTTTTTTTTCTAAGTCATTATTTTTAGAAAAAATTTTTTTTATGTTCAACAAATTTATATTGTTCAATGAAAATTGATCTACTTTTTTTAAATAATCCCAATTATATTTTAAGGTATGATTATCATTATTTTTTATTTCCATATTCATTTTTAAATAGTGTTCGTCCATTATATTTATATCAATTACACTCTTATGATATTTTCTATTTTCGTTTATATTTTGTTTTGTATGCATATTGTTTGGTTTATCATTTTTTTCATTGTCATATTTATCTAATTCTATATTTTTAAAGTATAAATTGTCAAATAAAAAAAATAATGTATTTATATTTTCTTCTTCATTATTTTTAAATGATACACCAAATATTTTATTTAAAAAATTTAAAAAAGAAAAACTACTGCTTTCTTCACTGAATTTATTGATAAAAGATTTATATATATTAATAAAATGATCAATAATATTTTTAAAAATTAATGTATCTTTTAAAGATATAGTAAAATAATCTTTTAAATCAAAATGAATATATGCAAAATTTATCATTTCTTTTTCACATTTAGAATTATGCAATATAATAGACATAATTTGTAAAGAACATTTATACATACTTTTCATATTTACATAATCAATTATTTCTAAGCATTTTCTGATATCTTTATCATCAAATATTTCTGATAAATTTCTAAAATAAATATTACTTTTTTCATTTAAAAAAATCATAATAAAATCATAATCATTTAATATAGTTTCTTCTTTTAATAAACACAATGAATTATAGTTATGTTTATTATTTTCATTGTTATAAGTGTAATTATATAATTTATTTAAAGAATCATTTGTCTTATATATATTATATAAAAATATATACATGCATAGTTTTAAAATTTTATAAATATAACTTTTACTAATATAACTATAAATAGATAATAATGAGGGAATGAATAATAACAATAAAACATTCACTGAATTAAATTCAAAAGGAAAATTATTTAAATTATTATGCTCATCTTTAAAAATTATATAAAACATATCATTTTCACTTAAATGTATTGATTTATTATTACTCAAACAATGATCAATGCAATTTTCTAAAAACTCTTTTTTTTTAATTTTACTGAGAAAAATAAAAATGTAATTAAGATTTTTTTTTAATTTATGGTACAAATATTTCACAAATAATAAACTATTATTATTGTTGTTATTGTCATTTTTATGATTATCTAATTTTTCATACATAAGATTTATTAGTAAGGATGTTTTTAAAACATATAAAAACCTATCCGTTTCTAGAGTCATTAAATTTATAAAAAAATTATTATCTTTAAGATATCCTATCAATTTATTTTTGAAATCATTATTGATATCATTCTCTAATTTTTTTGAAATAACATCATTTAAATCTAAATCATTTACATTATTGATATTAATGAAATTTGTCAAATTGTTCAAATAATGTGAATAATAATTTATAATTTCCTTATCATTAATGATTTTTATATTTTTTAAATTTGTTTCTTCAAAATCATCTTTTTTCATTGAACAAGAAAATCTATCAAGATTTATTTTTCTTAAAAAAACATTTTTAATAATTTTTTCTTCATACATATAATTTATGCATAGTTCAAATATTTCCAAATTATTTATAGAAATAAATGAATCATATAAAATTTTTATTTTTTCATTATTTAAAATTTGATTATTTATATTTTTTTCATAATTATTTTCATTTTTTAATTTTTCTTCATTCATATTTATAGAAAATTCTCCATTACTCTTTAAAGAGTACCTTGTTTTAATGTAGGTATAATAAATGTGAAGATATACTAAATTCAAAATAAAATAGAAATAGAAATAAATAATTTCATCATGTTCTAGATACTTATTAATAATAATATATTTTTCGTCTTCTTGTTTATTTTCGTTTGCTTTTTCATATTTTTTTTCAGTTTCTCTTTTTTCAATATCATTTATATAAATATTTTCGTTAACATCAAGATTTAATGTTTGTTCATTCTTATAAAAAAACAAATTTTTTACATTAAGAGTATTTCCTAATTTTATATATTTTTTATTTAAATAATATATTGGAGGTTTTTTCTGACATACAAATAAATATAACTCCTCAATCATTTTGGAGTTTTGAACATAACTGTTTTCATCATAAACAAATTCCTTTGATAAATTATCCATATTTGTCAACTTTTCTTTATTATTTCTTAGTTTACATATATTATCTTCATTATTATAATACATATAATTTTCAACATTATAATTATTTACATTTTTTTCATTCATATCATGTTTATTATGTATACCTTTATTATTGCTGCTATTATCATTGTTATTATCATCATTATTACCATTGAATATATTGAAAATATTCATATAAGAATTTTTTGATTCTTCATTAGGTGCATTCTCATCTGCTTTTTTAAAATAAGAAATATTATTATTTTCTCTATGCATATCAAGATTATTTTTTATATATAAATAACTATTTTTTATTTTTTCTATATAATTAAAAAAATATCTCAAGATAAAAGAAGATAAATTCGTAGATAAGAAAAGAAGACAGGGAATATCCATTTGATATATTTTATTTAAATGATTAAAATAAAAATCTAAATATTTATATTCACAAAAATATAATTTCAATACTAACAAACATAAATTAATTAAAATTATGTTAATGTAATTTTGAATTTTCTCATATTTATATTTTATGAGTTTATTTATTATAATAAGAAAGAAAAATAAGCCATTTTCTTTATAATCACTATTTTTTTTAATGATATTTTCATTGTTATATTTAATATCATTTAAAATATTGAAATAATTCTTAATTATATTATTTCTCCATAAATCTACATATAGAAAGTTGTCTATTTTTATTTCATAAAAGTTATTATGATATTCATAAAAAAAATTCATCTTTTCAATTGTTGTATGTATTCCAATTATATAAAAAAAAGAAAAAATTCCCTTAAAGAAAAATATATTACTTTGAAAAGTACTTTCTTTTATAGTATGCATGCATATAAAATTTGACAAGATATTAAACAGATTTAAACCACAATCGTAGTATTTGTGAAAAAAAATACTTTTTCCTTTCTTTAAAATTTCTATAATTATATAAATTTCCTCTATAAAACAAATATCACATAATATTATTTCATCTATGTTTGCACTTTTTTCCAGTAAATTATTTAAAAAATTTATATACATTGATAATAAATCCCATCTTTTTTTTATTTTTTTATTAAATTTATAATCACCCTTTTCATTACTGTTAAAATAAATTAAGTTATTATTCAAATTATCTAATGTTTCTTTTTCAAACATATTTTTTGTATTACTATTATTATCAGTATAATCTTTAACGTCATCTACTTTTTCCATATTTTCATTAGTTAAAAAATTTATTAAATAATAGCATTCTTTTAGTATTGGTTTAATTATAATATTAAGTATATATAGAAAGATGTAACTATTACCTTTTGATATGCATATAAGAATTTTTTCTATAACATGAAATTTATCCATTTTTATTTTATTTTTTTTTTTTTCCTTTTGTTTTTTCTCTTTTATTTTTTCAATTTCATTTTTTTCTTTTATTATAGTGAATATATTTCTTTCACTTGTTTCACTACCATCCACATTATTTTCATAATTTTTAGACATATAAAGTGAATCCTCGTCTAAATCAGATGAGTTACAAGAAGAAGAATCAGAAAAGTTATTAGTATCTAAGCCAAAATGATTTGGTATAAAATCGCTTTCTTTTATAATAGTTGCATTAAATTTTGTTACATAATCAGAAGAACGTTCTTCATTTTCTTCATATCTGATATCTTTCTCTTTTTTGTTAATCATTTTATTAGATGAAAAGGAATTGTTGTTATTATTTAAATGATTAAATGTAAAATCATGGTTATTAAATCCATTATTTAATAGTTCTATTGCATCAGAAATTCTGTAATTTGTTTTTTCATACATAATTTTATGCAATATAAGATATTTTTGAAATTTTTTAAACATATTAATAAAATATTTATTAAACAAGGAATATTTCACATTTTCATTTTCTTTATTAAGAACGTTTATAAATATTAAAAGAATATCTATAAAATAATCTGTTATTTTATCATTAGAATTATTTTCAATGCATTCTAAGTCAATTAAACCCAATACAGTAGCAATAAATTTTGATGAACATAAACAACCATAATAAGGGATGCATATCTCTAATGCTTTTATAATATTTTTAAAATTTTTTTCACTTAATTCATCATTTTCAGAATTATAAAATTGATCTAATATATTCATTATCACGTAATTACCTAACCTTTTATTTGATTTTAAACATTTAAAGAAAGAGAGTTGTAATTCATCTTCTGTAATACTTTCATATTTCATATCGCTATTTATAAATTCTATAGGAAAGTAATAAAAAGCTATATCTATAATTGATTTTAAATAGTTTGTCTCTCTTTCATATGTAAATAAAGAATTTTCATTTAAATAAAAATTTGTTTCTTTTTTTTGTTTATTGTTATTATCTGAAACGCTATTATTATTGATATTATTTGGATCATCATATGGTATATAAGAATACTCTTTTTCGTCAGATGACTCATTTTCATTTATATTTATAATATTATTATTACTCTCAATTGGTGATATATATTTATTACATAATGTATATATAATATCAAACAAAACTAAAATGTTTCGTGGATCAGATTCATTTTCTAATTGAACTTGAATTTTATCAATAAAATTAGAAATAGAAGAAATTTCTCTTTTAAATTCCTCTAAAGAAATTAAAATTATTTTATAGTAAGATAATCTTATACTTTGTAAATAACTTGGTGCATGTATATGTTTAAATAAATGCTTTAGAATTTTATAAACAACACATAAATTTTCTTCTTTTACATTTTCTTCTTCTGTTTCATCTTCATCTTCTATATCTTCATTTATAAGCTCTTTTTCATATTCATCATCACTATAATCTACTTCATCATAATAATTTTCTTCTTCATATATATTTCCTTCTACATCCGAGTTATCTTCACTTTTATTTTCCTCTTCGTTATCATTTTCATCATATTTAAAGAAATAATTTTTCATGTTATCTCTTTTTCTCTCTTTTGTTAAAAAACTTTTTTCTTTTTCTTTTTTTAAAATAAATAAATTTTTATATAATACTGTCTTTTCATTTGAATATTTAATAGTTCTTAAAATATCTCTGTATTTTTCTAATATAATTAAAAAAAATTTTATGACTCCATTAATACAATGCCAATCTTCTATTTTTTTAATAAAAAAAAATATTATAGATTTAAAATATTCTAAATCTAATTCACTTATGTTTATCTTATCAAAAATGTTTGCCATTAAATTTACAGCAAACCCTCTTTTCAAATTTTCATTACAATAGAAATATTTTTTTAAAATTTTAATTACTTCAATTAATTTATTATACATCGACATTTTATTACCTGAATTATTTATATTATTACCATCTCTTATATTATTTACCTCATTTAAACTATTTTCTGTAAATTTTCCCTTTTGTTCATTTATATCATTCTCAATCATATCTACTATTTTTTTTAAAATTTCATTTCTTATTTTATTTTCCTCCTTATCTTTGTTCTTTTCATAAATTAATTCTATTTTTTTTTCTTTATCATAATTAAACATAACCTTTTCGGGAGAGATATACTCTTCAATAATATTTTCTAACTCATTCATTTTTTCTGTTATTATTTTAATTATACTTTAAACTAAAAGCAAACAAATTCATATTCTTAATGTAAAAATTATCAAATACTCATTAAAATTTACTCATTTATATAATATATCATATATAAGTTATTGAATACTTTCTTTTGTTTTTTTGTTTTAAATTTTTTTATGAGTATTTTACAATATACAAACAAAAAGCACAAAAATTCAAATAATATTTTTCCTTTTAAAAATTTAAAGAATATTAGCCACACAAAAAAAAAAAAAAAAAAAAAAAAAAAAAAAAAAAAAAAAAAAAAAAACAAAAAAAAAATTTTTTTAAAAAAAAAAAAAAAANTTTCCTTTTAAAAATTTAAAAAATATTAGCCACACAAAAAAAAAAAAAAAAAAAAAAAAAAAAAGTCACAAGAAAAATTTTTTTAAAAAAATATGAATATATGCATATTTAATATTTAATAAAAAATAATTTTATAATGATGTTGAATTTTTATAAACTTCTAAAAAAAGTGAAAATGATAAGATACTAAGTTCTCTTAAAATGAAAAAAGCGTATTATTATTAACATAAAAAAAAAAATTTGAAAATTTTTAACTAATAAAATTAAATAAATTAACCTAATTTTTATATAAGTAAAAAAAAATTTGAAAATTTTTAAATAACATGTTCTATATTTAAATATATATAATGTTTAACACTTTAAGACTTTACTGCTAAAAAAATTTTTAACTCTATAATAGGATAATATAAAATTCCACGTTTTTATTTCTTAACATATTTAACGTGTAAAAATAATAAAAATTTAAAATTTCACTTAAGTGTCTATGAGAAAATCTTCAAAAATATGTTTGGTTGTATATTAAATTTTTTTTTAAATTTCTTAACAAAAACTTTAACAAGTTACAATTTAATAAAGTTTAAAACTATTACATTTTGTTTTCAGTGCTACATTTAGAATATTTGTTATGTAAAAATGAACAAACATATATATGAAATGTTATTTTTCTCTTTTTTAATAAAAATTAAAATGATAAATTCTTTTTACAAGAATAAGAGAGAATAAAAATTGTTCATAATTTTAAATTCTACAGCTTATTATTTTAAAGTGTAAAACATAATATCTCTTTAATTTTATATAGAATTTTATCATAAGAATTTTTTTAAATTTTAAGAGATATTAATATAAAAGTAAAAAAAAAATATATATATATATATATATAATTAATATTAATAAAAATATAAATTTTATTTAAAACTTTAATTAAAATGAAAAAAATAAAAAAAACATTTACCAGATATGTTATATAAACGAAATAAATAAAATTGTAAAATATTTTGTACTTTATTTTTGAAAAAAGAAGGAATCAAAATATGGAATGAATGAAAATGTACACATTTTTTTTTCTTTTTTTAAAACTTTTTAACTTATATGCATATAATATTTAAAATATAGAATTTCTAAATGAAAAAAAAAAAAAAAAAAAAAAATCTTAAGATAATCATGTAATATAAAATTATTTCTTAAATTATTTTACATATATATATTTTTTTTTTTTTTTCACAACCTTCCTTCAATGTATTTTCTCATATTTTTATCGCACATTTGTTTTTTTATATTATATTTTATTTTTTTTATAATATTTAGATAAATGTTTTTATATTATCCTTTTTTTTATTCTTATTTTTTACTTTATAAAAAATATTTATGTTCATATAATTTATCTAAATCTTTTTTTTTAATATTTATTTTTCTTCATATTCTAAGAATATTATGTTAAAAATTTTAAAAAAATATCTGTTTTTTCAAATTTACTAATAAATGGGTCTGAACAAATTATTCAAAAATTGATGTTTATAAATGTGAAAGTCTAAGTTCGTTATTAATTAATATATAAAAGTTAAGAATAATAAAGTAAAAATAAAAATGAGAAAAATAAAAAAAATAATAACATAAAGAGTAATCAAATATGCTTTATCATTAAGATATTTTGCTGTATATTAATATATATATTTCTACTTTAGAATATTCATTATCATCCTTTTGTTTTTTTAAAACATATGTTTTCGTTTTCATTTAAATTGTATGCTATTTCATATTTGTCTTAACATTTAAAAATTATGTACTTATAACTTTTATTATCTTTTTTTTTTTTTTTTTTTTTTTTTTTTGTAGCTAAATAGCTAAAAATATATATACAGATTTTAATTATAGAACATTAAATATTTTATGATAATTAAAGCCTACATAATTCATATTGTTCTATTTTTCATAATGTAAAAAAGAAAAAAAAAAAAAAAAGTTTTTATAATAAAGGAAGAGCTGAATATTTCAATCATGGCTAATTATATTGAAGAAGAATTAAAAAATATTATAAATGATATATATTTATCTACTATTTTAATTGATAGTAGTAGAATAGTGAAAAGAGAAGTTTCATTTTTTCTTGGTGTGAGTGTAAATGATTTGTTTCAACCTTTAGGACGTTGTGATTATTTTTTTGATGAAAATAAAGAAAAAATAGATTTGAAATTAAATGTAAGCATAAACATAAATTACTTAAATAAAAATAATGCATTATGTGAAAAAGTAATTGAAAATAAGAATTTTCAAATTCGTTTTATTAACTTTGATGAGTATGAGGATATGAAATTAGAATATTTAGATAAAGTATTAATAGATAATATTTCTTATAACGAACCACAGTATTCTGATATATATAATGAAGAAAATTTTAATGCATATTTTAAAAAAAATGATAAAGATAACATTTCTTTTAATAAAAAATACTTTGAATATATATGTGCAAATTCAAGTATTCTTAATAATGATATAAAGAATAATATCATAAAAAATTCTAAGAGTAATATTAATTCTAATGATGAAGAAAAGGTTTTGAAAAAAAGTAATTCATATTTGAATAAAAAAATTGAATACAATGATAGTAATTCTGATGATAACTATGATCTAAATCATTTTTGTAAAAAAAAATATATAAACAATATTGAAAAATATAATGCATTCTTTTTACCATGGTTTTATGAATATTTTAAAACATCGTGGAACTACACTAATTTATACAATAATTCTTCTACACCACTAGGTATAATTTACATATGTAGCACAAAAGATAATAATATTATTGATTTATATAAGTCTATGATTAAAAATAATGTTAAAAAAAAAAATATTTATATTAATTCTAATGTGCCTAAATGTATTATTTTACTTCATATTTCAAATAATAATAACGATGATATTGAAACAGATGTACAAAAATTATTTGTAAATATTCAGTCAACTTTTTTAAATTATAAGTGCCATCTTCTAATTATTAAAGCACACAGATTTTTAAAAGCATATGAAAAATATGAAAGTCATATAAATAATACTACAGAAAATATTTGTAAATTAAAAATAGAATCAGATCAAAAAATAAATATGAGTTATGAAAATTCTTATTTAACATATACTAGTGAAAGTTTTACAGAACTAAAAAATGACAATAAATGCAATTTTATAAATCATGAATCAAATTCTGAAAATAATGTAATTATTAGGAAAAAATCATACGAGGAAGAAAAAGATATAAATTCTAATTATCCTTTTAATTCTACAGAAATTAATAGTGATGATATGCAAAATTCAAAAAATAACATTTTAAATAGTAGTGAAACATCAACATATTTTGAAAATAATTTTACAAAAAAAAGAAAAAATATTACATATTCTAAAAAAAAGTATCATTTAAATAATATTCAAAAGTTATATATCAATTATTTGAGTATACATTTTAAAGACTTCATTGATGATGGAATAAAAGTTGCAAAAAATGATAAAGATATAGAAGAAAGTAAGAAAATAAAAAAAAAATTATCAGAAGATTTGAATAAAATTTATGATTATATATTATCTAATGAAGTTATTTGTATTAGTAAAAAAATACCTCTATACATTGACGATGTATATTTCTGTTGCTGTCTTGATTATATCGATATTATTTCCTTAAAAATGTTTATTCATAATTTTATTAAAACTTGTGTTATTCCTTACATAAATGTAATTACACATGATATTAATAATTTAATTGTTAATAATAAAAAAAGTTTAAAAAACCAATTAAAATTTATGTGGAAAAAAACAAAAATGAATTTCAGCTCGTCAGATGCAGCATTATTTGTTGCTGAACAAACTAGTAATGTTATTTTAAATGTTGCTCAAAATGTGTTAATTTCAAGTAATGATAATAAAACCGAAAATAAAAATTTAAAAGATATTAATACTAAAAGTATAATTAGTGAAGAGAAAGAAATTGTTACTAATGAAAATGAAGAGTTACATATAGCACACAATGAATACGAGAACTTTGAAAATAATGAAAATAAAAGAGATTCAGTAAAAATATCTAAAAAGTCTATAAATAACAATATTACACAAATTACTAAAACTAATAAGGATTCAAAAAATTATAATAAAGAGTCACTAGAATGGCTATATAAAACACTATGTGATATTTATTTTATATTAAGGGAATATGAATTATCATATAATATTTTAAAAATTTGTATAAATGAATTTAAACATGATAAAATGTACTTTTATTTAGGAAATGTTTATGAATTAATTAGTTTGTGTATTTATTATATGGATAATGTAAATAAAAAGGATTCTTTATATTATTTAGATTTAAGTTATCAAATGTATTCTAAATGCAACTATTTAAATAATATGTTTATTTGTTCTATTTTAAATTATTATTTGTCTCTTATATATGATGAAAACAACGAAACATCTATAAATATTCTTATAAATGCCAATATGGATTTTTCATATGTAGAAGAAAAATTAGTTAATGAAAACAAATTAACAAAATTATCTTTTCAAATTAATAACATAAGGTCAGGGTTGTTATTAGAACAAATAACTTATAGTTATAAAAAAAAAAAAATAAATAATAATATAAAAGAATTAAATTATATAAAAAATTTTAATAGTTATAATAAAATAATTACTAATATTGTAAATAAAAATGTAAACTATTTTACTGAAAATATTAAAAAGAAAGAAGATAAATCTACGAATAATGAAGTAGTAGATAAAGTAAAGAAAGAAAATAATGAAGATGAAAACACTACTGTTGTGAGTAATCATAATTATACAGAAAATAATTCACATATTTGTAAAAATAACAATTATAATACCATCATAAATAATGATAATAGCATTATTATAAATAATAACATGAATAATAGTACTGAGAAAATGAATAGCATAGATTTTGAAAACAGTAATACTAATGATGTTGTATTATCAAATAGTGCACAGAACATTAATAGTGGAAAAATGTTTTTAGATGAAAATAACAATAACGTGGAATATATAAACAACAAAATGACAGATAATGATACTTTTTTTCTCCTGCAAGCAAATAATTATAAATATAGGAAATATTTATTTGAAATGACTTTAGCAGGTCATACATTTAATAAATGTGGATTTAAAAAATTAGCTTTATTTTGTTATTCAAAAGTGTTAAAGAAATATGAAAAAAAGAAAATGAAACATATATATGAACATTTGCACTTTATGATGGCTCGTCAAGCTTTTAGCATAAATCTTTACTATGAATCCCTAAATCATTATATATGTATTTTAAATTCTATATCTAAAAATTATGAAAAATCATATGTTTTAAATAAAAATGTAGATATATATTGTGCTTCAACTGAAAAGGAAATAAATTTCATAAGGGAATTTGCATATGTGTATAAAATTTACGTAGATAAAATTTTAAATAGGTATTTAAAATATAAAAATAATCATAATGATAATAATAACTGTAATTTGTCATCAAAAAGGAGCTCTAGTTGTACTAGTGAAAAAATTAATAGAATACATTATTTTAACGATGATAATATAGAGGATATTATTAAACCTCTAAATTTAAGGATTCCATTAATTAATCTAAGGAATGATGAATGCTTATATACTAATTCTATTTTTGTTTCAAAATCAAATATATATAATTATGATAAAATCAATGATATCAATTATTTTTATATTTTTGACAATAATTTGTTTAAAATAAAAAAATATGATACTACATTAGAAGATTTATATAATATAATGACGAAAGATATAAGTGATTTTCCAATATCTAATTTTTATGAGTTGAATTATTTATACATAACTTATAAAAAATTTGTCAATAGTATATATAGTGATTGTATAGTTTATGAATCAACAGACTCTTTAAATTCTAATGAGAAAATAATAAATGATAGTAAGAGTATGAGTATTTTGGGAAATGATGAAAATAATACATCCTTAAATAGTAAATGTGATAAAACAATTATTGATAACAATTCAAAAATAAGATATATAAAGTCAATTAACTCATCACCATTTATAAGTATAGAAAATAAAAAATTTTTTTTGAATTATGTGAAGGAATTAAAAGAAAAATTAGTAAATAGCTTAGAGTTTACTAATAGCACTCAAATTAAAAATATATATCAAAAAACAATTAATAAAGAAGAAATTAAAATAAATAATAAATTTATTCAATATATATCAAAGGGTGAATATATATATGTAACATTTAAATTAATAAACCCGTTGCACACAAAAGTAGAATGTCAAGGGACTCATATATGTGCATATTATTACAACGAAAGTATGAATAAAGATATTATAGTTGAAAAAAAAATTTTTATTTTAGAAGCTAGACAATCTAAAACATTTACTTTATTTATTAAACCATTAAAACAAGGTTTATTATTTATTTCAGGTATAAATATTTTTTCATATATTTTTATTAATTTTTTTTTTTTTTTTTTCTTATTTTTCATATGTATGTATGATTATATAATAGATAATAGCACTATTTATTTTATATATATATATATATAACATAGTAGTAGAATGTAGATTCTTAACATATATATATTTTTATATATTTATATTTTTTTTTTTTGTAGGAGTAATGTGGTATTTATTTGGCTTAGTTAAAGTTTATCAAAATTTTTATATACATGGCTTAAAAAGAATAAATAAAAAATATGATAAAATGCACACACTGAAATATGATGATATATATAATTGTGATAATAATATACAAAAAAAAGAAAAGTTAAAAAAATTAAATAAGGAAATGAATAAATACACGTGGTCAAATAATATAGGCATGATTGAAAAAAAAAGTTTAGAAAGAATAAAGAATTATGAAATTGATCAGCGATTGTTATTATATGTTTATGATAACATGTATTTTTTTTCATTCGAGTTTGAAAACATTTATTCAAATAAAAAAAGAACAATAAACAATTATGAAGTAGATTTAATTGAATTATTGGAAGGAGAAAATATGGAAATTATTTTTAAAATTGTAAATCATTCAACTATGCCGGTTAATTATTTAAGTATATCCATTACACCATGTAACTTTTTTAATTGTTATAAGATAATACATAACAAGGATAAATATTTTTTAAACGATAAAATTGAAAAAAGATTTTTAAAAAATAAGGAAGAAACAAATGAAGATGAATGTAATATCTATAATTGTAACAATTTTAATGAAAAAAATGCAGAAGGAATTAAGAAAAATGAAAGTGATATCTCTATAGATAATGAAATTTATTGTGAAGAATCAATTGATAAAAATACCAACGTATTTAAGCAAAAGTTTAAGAATAAAAATATTCAGCATATTAAAATAAAAGGAAATATTAATAAAGATGATGCTTTTTATTTATACATTAACGTTAATTCAAAACATAACGGTTTGCATAAATGCATTATAACAACATTATGTAAACATAATGACGAAATGAGTAGTAAAAAAGATAAATCAAGTAGTAAAGATTTAAAATATCCTGATATTTTAAACGAAAAAAAAGAGAGATGTTATTTATTTTTAAGATTAATGCATATAATTCCTCTTATTAAATTAAAAACATATTCATTAAATAATTACAATAATAAAAACTCTTCCATGTATTTTTTTTTTCAAAATTTATGTAAAAATAATATTTATTTATATAATATAATTGTAGAGTATAGAAAAAGTAAAAATTTGAAAGACAAAAAAAGAATTTTGGGAAAAAGTTCAAAGAATGAGAATAAAGATAATGAAATATGTGAAAAATCATATTATACAAAATTATATAATTTTTATTCATCTGATTTTTTATATTTAAAAAAAAATGAAAACTTAACTTCTTTATTATATTCAAAAAGTTCTTTACAAAATATTTCTTCCTTTTTTGTACATATTAATTGGGTATCAAAAGATTCCAATTACTTACGAAAAGGGATTATAAAAAAAAAAGTTAATTTTTATAATGATTTAATAAGTTTTTCTATTGATGAAATAAATAAAGATATTTATATGAATAATGAAAAAGAAAAAATTATAAAAATTGGTATTAATATACAAAACAATTCAGAAATAGACCTAAAAGATTGTTATATACAGGCTAAAGAAATTGAATCAATAAATTCTTCATCATATATAGAAAATTATAATGATGATAATGAATTATCTATTATTGATTATGAATATGAAAGCGAAGATAATATTTTTAATAACAGACAAGAACTCTACAAAAGAGAAGAATTGAATGGTATTTCATTGAATGAAGAAAATAATAATTTATTAAATAATGATGATATATATTCATTAAATAATGAAAATCAAAATTTCATGAAAAGTGATAATGAATATTCTTTGATCAATGGAAATAATTTCAATCCTATTATCAATCATCAAAAAAATACCGAGCATAATTTAAGTGATAACTGTAAAAAAATCAAAGATGAAAAAGTTCCTATTTTCTCTTATAAATCATCACTTAATGATGAAATAAATAGTTTAGAAAATAAAATAACAAAAAAAGTTGATTTATCTAATTATTTTCCCATAACAGCAAGTTATAGGTATAATGAAAATTTTGATGTTATATTAACAAAAGATTTATTTTTATATGATAATTTAAATGATAATGAGAAACTAAAGAAAGATAAAAATCTAAAAGAAAATTATGAAAATGTTAACTCTTTTGAAAAATTATATTTAAGTAAAAAATATACTAAGAAGTTTCATGATATTGTTAAAAATCATACATACACTTGCAGCTATAATAATTGTAATTTATTAATTCCACTAAATGGTATGATATCTGAAAACATGAAAAAAAATAATTCTATTGAAAAAGGAGTTTCATTAGATGGATTTTTATTTATAGGAATAGTTCAACAATATTTAAAAAAACTAAAAAAGCATCAAAAGAAAAAGATATATTTTAATATTCTTTTTACTAAAGAAGGAATTTATAATATAAATAAATTTCATGTTATTTTTAAATTAAATAATCAAACATTCATATTCAAACCATTAAACCATTTAATTATACACGCACATCAATAAATAATAAAAAATATATATTTTTTTTTATAATTTTTTTTTTTTTATTTAAATTTAATTGTTTACATTACATATATTTCATTTTCTTTTTTTTTTTTTTGTAAAATCTTTGAAGCATCTTATACAACATAAAAAAATCTTTATTGAATCTGTTAAATTTTAATACTCATTTTTGTTTATGAGGTTGTAGGTTTTTTTTTTTTTTTTTTAAAGTGTTATTTTTTCATTTATTATTGTAATCTATTTAATCACATTTTTATTTTTATTAATTATTTTTGTTTTTAATTTTAAATTATTAAAAATAAAACATGTTAATGTCATGTTATTGTAATTAATTATATATATTTATTATTATAAAATGTATATGTGTACATTTATAATAGGTAATTTCAATTTATTACATATTTTACTTTATTTATTTTTTTTTTTTACCTTTTCTTTTTATTGTCTTTAAAAGATATTTATAAGTTTATCACTTTAGCTTACTTTTAAACTAATAAGAATAAACATCAAAAAAGAATTAAGAAAAAATATATATAACTAAGAAGCTTAATCTAGTAATTCATTTGTTTATGATATAATTTTTTATTAATATAAATATAAAAATTAAAAGAAAATTTTAAATATTTTTTTTTTATTCCTTTTTAAACTATTTAAAAAAATGTGGAAAAAAATGAAAAGATAAAATAAAATAAGAGCAAAATATATATTATAGTATTCTAAATTATTAAGGGGAAATGTGTAAAATAAGGAATTTAATAGATTTTTTTTTTTTTAACTTTTTATTATTGTAATAATAAAGAATTTTTCTAAACATTAATAATAATGGAAAAATATATTATCAAACAATACTAAGTTTTGTTAAAAAAAATTATAAACTATATTTTTACATTTTATAAAATTTTTTATTTATTAATATAGTCTAAAAAAAAAAAATTAGCAAAATTATAGTAAAAAACAAAAATATATATTAACAGATAGATATAGAAATAGAAATAAAATATAGATATAATTTTAGAGTAAAAAAAAAAAGATAGCAAAATTACTATTTTTAAATATTTATAATGTTAACAGAAAAAAAAAAAAAAAAAAAAAAAAAAAAAAAAAAAATAATATT